GCGAAAGGAGATGTCCATCTGCAGATATAATAGGCATAATGGTGTAGCTATGAGTCATAGCAGATAAAGATTGGATAGTAGCTCCAACTGTCTTCACTCCTACATTAGCTAATGTTCTTCCTGCATGTATTTCTAAATTAAAGCCACTTTCGTCCGCATTATAAGTTGATTCAGCACCGATTACATTAATATGTGGCTTTACTGTATTTACAAATTCCTCAGCGTTTTGACGTATAGTTAGATCAGTTAAATGAGAAGACCGCGTTTTAAATGCAGTTATTTTACGTGATGTAATACGATGTGCCTTTTTAAAATTCCATATCCACCAATTTCCTGCTTTAAATGAAGAAAAATCCACTTATTCCTTTGCTTCTAGTGCCCATTTTCGCAGATTTATATCATGAATAATAAGTCCTCTATTAACAGCTTCTTAGAATTTTATAAGAACATATTCAGCAATAACTACAAGTTTGTCTGTATTTGAACCCCCACGTATTACATGTTCTTGCCATCTGTGCAATTGTTGAATAGATTTTACCTAGAAGAAAACAAATCTCAATATTAAACAATTCGAATTCAAAAATAAAAGAAGTTATATACGAATTAAATGTTCACGAAACATCAAATTGTAAAACTTAAAATAAACACAACGCGACTCTAACTATATAATTTACAGCTTTGGTCATAAGTATAAAGCATCTCTAACTCATTGTATTTTCCTAGAAATCAATGCATATACTCATAGTAAATATATAATCTCTTTACAATAAATATTATATTAATATTTTATAATATAATGTGTATATTATATTTATGTATATTATATTTATATTATAATTTATATTATATTAATATTATATTATATTACAATAAATATTGTAAAATAAATATTATTTTCCACATATTCTTATATTATATTTTTTTATTATATTATTTTTCCATATACTCGTATACTATATTATGTTCTCCATATATTCATATAGTATGTTTTTGTTACACAATTTAAATAAATTTTTTGGGATGCTTTATACTTATAGTCAAAGCTGTATGTACAATGACCGACAATGATGCGTTCCGCGAGAGGGGAAATAGAGTTATCTCTGTCGCGGAACGAATCACTGCCGGTCACTGTACACCGTAAAAGCCTCAAGTATTTTACTATATATTATTCTTCTTATTTTTTAATTAAATTTTACTTTTCTAAAACGATGTTGTACAGAAGTAAGAGATAAATGTCCTTTCTTTCCACTCTTCCAAAATTCGATTGTCTTTTTCTTATAATTTAAGTTTACATTTCCACCTTCATCATCCACAGTGCAAACTTCATTTCCATAATTATCTTCTTCAGCATCAATATCGTACACATCTACAAATTGTACGTCATGCGGTTCTGATGGATCGTCAAAATCAAGTCCCCACTCATGTTCGATCGTAATATCGTGATGTATAACACTCTTTATTAAATCAGTAATTGTATCATGGAGTTCCACCTCTTGATGATTAACAGGAGTTATTGCAATATTTGTGAAATGAAATGTCGCAATTAACAAATTAATAACATTAGCTGGATTTATTACTGACATTATGATACAAATCTTAAGGATATTTTAATTAAACATTTCTCACAGCAATAATAATATACGTACTGCTTCAATAACTGCTTCAATAACACTGAAATGTATTCCAAAATGGACAGCTTTTATATGCAAATGAATGAGGATAACATATGTCAATATAATGAACCTTGATTGCACTGTACTTGATAAAGAGTGCTATTTTGGTCGCACAGTCATAAAACTTGTGACAAGTGTTTTGCATGTTGCCATGATGTACACACACGTGCGCACGTACAAAAACACACATACACACACACATATTTATTTATATTTACGCGTGTCGTTTAAATTAATGAAAAAGGTAGCCGCAATGTTGGCAAAATAAACGTCTATTACGTGAAATTTTATAATTTATAACATTTTTAAATATTAGTGACTGTATCCTTATCATGCTATTTTTCTCCTACTTACTTCTTAACATCAACTTTATTGCTTTTTTAGATTTTCTATTTTCTTCCTTCCTTATCTTTTACAGTTTGCAATTATGAGGAAGATTTGAGGAAGAAAGAAATGCCATCGTCAAGTAGCGAATCCTTAAGTTTGGTACGCGTAGCATACATATAAGAGCATGTTTAATTTTTTTTTCAATATTGCCTTTTCCAAACATAATGTTATTATATATGGTTGAATTTGTCATAAAATAAGCTTTATTTTGGTTGGACAATTGATTTTAACAATTTGAAAAAAGAGAAGGAGGGGGGGTATTTTATACACAATTTTACATTTTTAAAAAATCTAAATATAGCATAATAAAGTACTTTTAAAACCATAAAACTTTTGTCTAAAACATTTTTTCATATCTTTAATAGTTTCGATAATATTCGCTTAGAAAGACAAAAATCAACTTTGTTCAAGGGGTTGTTTCCACCCTTAAATACGGTGCCCGTTTTTGGGCACCAACGAAAAATTGTTTTGTTATTAGGTATATCTGCTCTACAATTATGCAGAGTTTCAGATTTTTTTGAATTTCCGCGTTGCCGAATGTCCCTTGTTAGTATTAGGTTACATAATCTTATACTATATATATGTATTAATAGAAGAAATGTATATAAAGAAATTTATTGTATGTTCGGATTATCTAATAGATACATTAAATTCATAATTTCGAAAAAACTATCAGTACGTTTGTCAAAATCATATACTTTTTTAAATATAAATTCTGCAAGATAATGCGTAAAATGATAATCTTGTATACCATATCGAGGAATTTTTGCTCGCATATCTCTTCACAATCTTTCTATGTTCTGTGTATGAACACCAGTCTCTGGATTTACAGAATTTCTTGAATGATTTACTTCTATAAGTATAATTTTCGTAATTACGCAAAATATCATATCCTCGCCACTGGTCCATATGTATTATGGAACCAGGTGCAATACATTTTTTAATAACAGATAGCAGAGTATAAGCACGTCGATTCGGTACGGGTAAAATGAAAAACTTTTTAGTATCACGTTCTATACCACCAAAAGCCCACTGTCCTCTAATTATACGTTCTGTATTATATTTTCTTTTTCCTACTTTGGCTTCATATATTTCTACAATTTTATTCACTCCGCCAATTGGAATTTGTTTATCTTCAATCCATTGTTGAAGTAACTAGAGATAATTTAACAAATCAATGTAATATTATTCATTAACAAGCACAAATAAATAAATAAGTAACAAGCAGTATATTATTTACTTCTCGACAAAATTTCGTCCAATCAACAATACTATGTTAATCTATTTGCAATTCATTCATTAAAAATGACTGTCGTCATGGTTGCATCATTAGAAAATAGCTGATAAAACGGCAAATTACAGTTAAATCCATATGCATTCTTGAAAACCATGTTCCGTGAAATATACTAATTTTGAAGTTGCACGTTATTCTTTGTCGTTTTCGACCTTTAGTAACTTTATAATATTTGTTTGTGCAATGTAATAAACGATTTTCAAGTGGATTATTTGCTTTTAATAATTTTTTACATTGCTGATACATTATCTCATTTCGAACGACCTTTTTTTTCACATAAGAAATTCCATAAACTGTCGAAATTATGCATCATATGTAAATATTCATATAAATACATTTTGAAAATTGACGTAACTGTTGGATTTACTTAAGCGACCAACTAGTTGAACGACGAAAGAGCAACTGACAGTAATAATACAGATAATACGAAACATACCCAAGTTATACACAATAGAAATAATCAAAACAGAACAAGTTTCGTAGTGCGGTGAATATATTCATATATAGCGCGTGTATATCACATGCTCCTTCCTTAAATATATACACGGTGTCGGAAAATTACATTCTATTTGTGAAATTTTTTTGTTAATTATTTTTTAACAAACAATGAGCGACGGTTAAACCCTCTTGAATGTCACTCAGTAGAGTATCCTTGATAATATATATCAATGACAAGCTCATTGGAGATGGGTCCCCTAAACCCCACTTTTGCCGAATAAATATATAATAAAAAATATATAACGAGAAAAAATGATTCTCGTAATCAGCGATTTCGAAAACCCATTAAAAGTGGATTTTCAATGGAATTTGGGCGCTTCCCGTCATTTTTGATCCACCATTTTTTTTATTTATACTGCAAGTTCGTTACATATTAACTATAGAAATTCACAATACCATTTTTACAAAAGCATATTTACGTTTTGTTACGAATTAATCGCAATCGTACACTGGTGATATTTTATGTCTACCTTATCGAATCCGCTATTTTTTATTTGGAGCGTAATCAAAATTTACGCACAAACCGCTTATAACCTATTATATCCTCAACAAATAAAAAAAAATTAAAATCGATCAAGAATTTAATTGTCGGCAGATTTTTATCGATAAAACGGACTTTTTGCCCCACTGTGCGTCGGTTAATATGCAGTTTTCGAACGCCGTATCAATTTCTCTTCATATTAATTCTGCAGCTCTTGATGCATACCCAACACCTACGTGTATGAAACGTTCTTGTATAGTGATTTTCAATCCCTCATGTCGCGCAATATGAACCACTACTGATTGCGCAGTGCCGATTAACAATCGCAGTTGTTTTGCTCGACTTTATTCTGCCAAACATCTGATACACTTGTCACACTTTTGCATTCACGCGTCGTAAGCCTCTCGCGAATTCAGACGAGTGGATTGCTCCAACAGTTCTCGTTCGGTTTGAGCGAAGTTTTCTATTTCTTTATCAACTACAGAGAATACTTTGCTTTCTGGAATGCTTTACTTTATATTTTTTCCACTAGAAAACAGGTTTGGACATGCGTGAGTCAAATGGGGGTCTAAACCAAAGATAGCCTTATCTTATTTACCTTCTCGTTTTGAAGAATGTATCTGCGCATGCGCTACAACTCCGAGGAGTAAGAGGAGGGGATGCACGATAGTAGCTATAATATCAGGCTTCGGAAAAAAAACTTCTGTTCTCTCAGTCGCTCTGTGAAGACGAGATTCAACGGTTGTGTGTCTACATAGTAAAGTTTAAGTGTGTCTACATAGTAGAAATGTACGTTGCCGGTGCTAAAATGAACGCTAAGGACATGAATTATTACACATCGATTCAACACGAGGACAAGGCTCTACCGTGCAAAAAAATCTGTGAGAAGTGAGTGTCATAATGTTGTTTCTTTTAATTTATTCGTAGTAATTATTTCCGAGATTCAGACACACAATTTTCTATTATATCTTTTCAGCGTTCCACGACCTCCTGCTACGCGTATCTTAAGATGCCGATACACTTTGACTGCAACTGCTTATAAATATTTGGATATCGGGATCAGCGAAGGAGCTGAGCTAATCGTAGACATATTCATTGGTGATAATCGTGACAACCAACTGCTATTGCCGATTAAAACTTGGAATGTGCTAATGGGGCAACGTGTTGACATCCAAAGATTTCTGCAGGTCAATTTCTACAAGTCATCGTCTTCCCCGATGCATATAGAAAATGTATCAATCGAATTGTGTAAAATGTATAATTCTGATATTGTGAAATTTACAATTTTTAATAATTGTTTATTTTTAAAACCGGATACGCTAAATGTTTTATTTACTTTCGAAAATTGTATTAAGCATATGCGCTTATGACTCTCAGAAAATATTCGTACAGTTATTGGAGACTCGAATAAGTTCTCGCTGTTTTTTCGTGAAAATGAATGCTTTATTTAAAAAAATTAGTAAAGAACATGTCATTGAAAGTATTGTCCATCGCTAGTCACTACTTTCTCCCATCTTTCTGGCAGCATACGAATACTATGTCAAAAGAACGACTTATCTTTTGAGGTTATCCACGAATCGACCCATTTTTTGGCATCTTCATAAGAATGGAAGTGCTGCTTAGCCAAGCCATGAGTCATCGATCGAAACAAGTGGTAATCGGAAGGAGCAATGTTCGAACCGGGATGTCGGGGAGGGAATGCAGGCGTAGTTCCCCTGACTTCCCCCACCATGGTCTGAACGGTAGGCACCCCGCAGGGGTTTTAGTCGGTAGAAGTCCGATATAACCTCCGCCCTCCCCAAGGGGCGGGGGTATCTATGAGGATTTCCCCTGCGTGACCAAAAAAAAGAGCAATGTCCGGTGAATACGGCGGGTGGGGTAGGACTTCCCATTTGAGCGTTTCCAAATAGGTTTTGACCGGTTTTGCAACATTTGACCGAGCGTTGTCATGCTGCAAAATTACTTTATCGTATCTCTCCTCATATTGCGGCCGTGTTTACTTCAATGCTCGGCTCAAACGCATCAATTGTAGTCGATAGTGATCTCCCGTGATGGTTTCGTTGGATTTGAGGAGCTCATAATATACTACACCCAGCTGATCCCACCAAATACAGAGCATGAGTTTGAAACCATGGATATTCGGCTTTGCCGTCGATATTAATGCATGGCCGGACTTTCTACACTTCAGGTTATCGTAGTGAATCCACTTTTTATCGCCAGTTACGATACGATGCAAGAAACTTTTCCTTTTCTGCCGTTGGAGCAGCTGTTCACATGTGAAAAAACGCCGTTCGACATCTCTCGGTTTCAATTCGTACGGCATCCAATTTCCTTGTTTTTGAATCATTCCTAATGCTTTTAAACGTTTAGCAACTGTTGTGTGATCAACTCCTAATAATTCTGCAAGTTCATTTTGCGTCTAACATGGTTCTTCATTGAGTAATGCTTCCAATTCTTCGTCTTCAAACTTTTTCGGTGAGTCAGAGCGTTCTTCAACATCAAAATCATTATTTTTAAAGCGTCTAAATCAATCTCTGCATGTTGTTTTCGACAGAGCATGGTCGCCGTAAGTTTCCACAAGAATTCTATGTGCTTCAGCTGCAGATTTTTTTTGAAAAAAGTAATACAGTAAAATTCCCCGCAAATATTCTTTTTTGGTACGAAATTCGACATGTTTAATGCTGTGAAAAAATATGTTGTTTACGCTTCGGCGGAATAACATATACTGTCACTTCGAGCGTAATGGTGGAGTTTCACAATGAAGTTGGCTGCAGTGTTGCCCAATGCAAAAAGGCTAAAATAACACTATCTGTCGGGAAACAGCGAGAACTTATTCAAGTCCCCAATAATATTAAATTCAATAATTTTGTAAATGTTCTTCGCGAGATAAACGTCACTAAAATACAACATGCTACAAAAGCGATACGCGAAAGCAGTGATTTTGATTGTGAATCACTGATCGATTGCAAGCTGTTAGATTGCAAACTGCAGATGAGGACTATGTCCCTCCAACTCTGTCCGTTATTGTGATACACAGTTTGAGAAACTTTACTGTCCCTGACAAGAGTCTATGATAGTCTAATTGTAAGTGGTGAGATCATTGCACAATAAATTTTTTCTTCCGACGTATGACGTCATCACACACTGTAAGAAACTTCACTGTGCATCCGCTAGCATGATGCTACGATAGTCTAGGTGGTAGGACCATTGCATAGTAAGCGAAAGTTTCAGGTTCGAATCTCGGTTTTAACTTACTTTTTCTTTGATGTATATGTGACGTCATCATACATACTTGAGAACCTTCACTAGACGCGTTCTACTAGCAACCTTCTACTAGACCTTCTACTAACAACAGGAGACGGTGGTCTAGTAGGTTGAAGCGTTGGATAGTAACCGCGAGAGCCCAGGTTCGAGTCTAGCAACATCCCGACACATTTTTTCTCTCGTGACGTCATCATGTACACTTTAAGAACCTTCACTAATCTACTAGCAACAAACGACGGTGATGTAGGAGGTTTGGAGCGTTAGGTAGTAACCGCGAGGGCCCAAGTTTCGAATCTAGCAACATCCCGGCACATTTTCTCTGGACATATGCGTGACGTCCGACGACCGTCATCTTGTCTACAGAAGAAAAAATTCTGGATAAGGGAGTTATGATTGAAAATATTTAATTAATAAAGAGCGGATTTTGCAAATTGAGTTAAAACCCGCCTTGCTTTACTACTCGTGCTGTATTACGAGTTCTTGTGTCCAAATGAAACCGTTACAGTTAATTGCTACCAATAACAATTATAGCGACTGAGTGACGAGTTGATGCAGAAAAAACTTTGGAGCCAACAATCGACACAAAACGCACTTACGCACATACATTTCTTCAGTTACGAAGAAATCCAAAAATGGGTGGATGAATGAATCGTCTCGAAAGAAACCATGTTCTACCGTCGCACAATGGGATAGAAGCCCGAAAAAGTGGCCAAAAGTCGCAAAAGTCAACTATTTTATATCCATTAATGAAGTCTCTTATCGTTATTTACACATATTAAAGTAATTAAAAACGAACTTTATGTTTATATTGTATATTAATTACAGATTGAAATATCTGACATTGTAGTCTTCGCTTGCACTAATTTAATATGGATTTGTCTATTATATATCATATATACTGTTGATATGATATATACTGTTTTATATACGTTTGTGAAGTTTCTTATCAGTATCTATATATACTAAAGTAGTTAAAAACAATTTTTTATGTTGATATTGTAATTACAAATTAAAATATCTGGTTTTAATATCTATGTTTGCACATAATTTAACATGATTTTGTCGATAAAACTACGTTACGCCAACTTTCGATTCAATGCCCTCCTATGCTCCACCTTCAAATCATAAAAATGAAATGTCAATGCTTTGTTCCCGATGTGTACTACCATCTACATATGCGCCTTTTTGCTCCTTTTGAAAAATTTCGATATAATCGTTACGACAGACATCGCGCATCTATGCTGCGCCGCACAATGGGATAGGATCCCGAAAAAGTGGCCAAAATTAATATCTCGTAAAATATGTGAAAATACCTAACACCGATGTACTTATATAAAGTTTTTGGCATCGCTGATTCCATTTTTGATGTCAAAATTGCGAAATTCAAAATAGCGGACCCAATATGGCGGACCAAAATGTAAAATTTTCTTGGATTTGAATGAAATTCATATTCCAGGGTTTTTGGGGTCGCTGATTATGAATTTGAAGTCAAAATTCGAATGCATTCGAATGGACGAGGAGCAAGGGGGAACTCGCGTAAAAGAAACATCCCGATTCGCGAGAGGCGAAGAGACTTACTAAAAACACTGTAAAGGCTCTGCTTGATAATTAAAAAGTTTGTCCGTTATTTTGGGTCAGAATTATGAAATTCTTATTTCAGATTCATATTCAGCAGTGTCGAAAAACTCTTAGAATATGAATTTCATTCCAATCCAAGAAAATTTTACATTTTGGTCCACCATATTGGATTCGCCATTTTGAATTTCGCAATTTTGACATAAAAAATGGAATCAGCGATGCCGAAAACCTTATATAAGTATATCGATGTTAGGTATTTTCACATATTTTACGATATTAATTTTGGCCACTTTTTCGGGATTCTATCCCATTGTGTGTCGTGAGATTGCGCCATTGCCGGAGAGATGGGAAAAAGTAGTAAAAAATAGAGGAAATTACTTTAATTAAGCTTCAATTATCTTCCCTTCGAAACAAATCAATTTTGGAGAAAATGGCAGGAATTAAATTTATCGCCTAATATAACAACATGATATCTCCCTCGTGCTTTCCGAACAGTTGCTAAGCGTATGCGTAAACTGTGAAAGCAAATTTCTGTTATTCCCGCTATGAAGTATTGAGTTCCGCTCATTACTTATAAATTAATATTACACAAGATGCGTTTCCGTAAATATCTACCAAACTCCAATTATATTTTTTCAAGATGTACATCTATGTAATATATAAGTTTTTACAAATAAAAGTAATTATTTTTTCTCAAGATACATGTAGGAAAGACCGAGGCTGATTGACACATTTCTTTCTAATGAATTTTTTAAGAGTAAGTAACAAATGGAATATAAGCGATGCTTATACAACACAAAACTTATTTTGTCGATTGAATATTTCTATTAACATTGCTGCATCAATGAAAAATATAAGATGACAGTATTTGTAACAACTAACTTCGTATATGAAGTCAGTTGTTACAGTTATCGGGGTCAGTTGTTACAGATCCCTGTATTTCAAAGAACACATTTGATTAGAATGATTAGAATGATTAGAAATAAATAGAGAAAGTACATAACATAACTATTAATATTCTGCAGATAAAATATATATTCTGCGACGCGATTTTCGCTCGCCGTCGGCAAACTGCCGTCGGTCCACGCGCCTCGGTCGTTCGCACTTGCACCAAAGAGTTGGGCGCCAGGTGCAGCCTACCCAAGACCGAGACACGCGAATTCGACGGGACCGGTAGCTCCGCGGTATGTTATAGTCGGTAGGCGGGAGGGTTCGATCGGGAGTCCGGGATTTAGTCGGGAAGACACAAGAATCGAGACGCGCTTCGCTTATCTCAGTCTTTATTCTTTCGGGGATCGGCACGATCCGACCCCTCGATACGGTACACTCCGCGAGACGCTCTCGCGAATTCGAAATTTGCTCCACGCCGCTAACTAAGACGAGACTCAATACGTGGATGACACCGATATTATAAGGCAAGTGGACGGTCTTACAAATGCGGGGACCTCCCGGCGGCGTGAACTCTCGACCTCCTTCCTCGGGGTCGTCCCTCCGAAATTCCGGCCACCTGTGGTACTCCTCCGGCACAGGGAACTCCACCAACTCCAACACTCCACCAACTCCAACACT